CTAACATCGTTCGTGATTCCAAAAATGTTTGTAGCCTTACCCGGGTTAGAAAGGATTCGATATGTCTATTTGAACTATGGCTTCTGATTCAGTAAGCGTTTGTATATCGGCTATGAGTTTTTTTTTTCGATAAAAAGTTGGGCACGTACTTATTGATCATCTGGCCTATAAGAGTAGTGACCTTTTTGTGTACAGCCTGTTAACATCGAATTTCACCTACTTTGCTGTATCCTTCTCTGAAATATTGGGTTTTACTGATGAGGGTGCTCCATCCTCTTCCTCTAATCATGAATAATTTTGATGGCATTTTTTATTACCGGATGCAGTTTAACAGCTGTTCCTCTTTGATGCACAAGCAACCAGTTTCATCCAAAGCAAACAATAGCATGACCTTTTAACATTCTCCTTCGCTCACTGAACGCATTCAGACCGCACTTTGGATCGAGGTGTCCGATTTTTCTAGAGGACGACGTTGTTGTTGTCGACAATTCGATGAAGGTATTTGCTTTTCAAATATTACCTTTGGTTACATGCTTGAAGCTCTTGAGAGGCGCAGAAGATTTTTCTCGCAAAAGTTGCAGTTTTCACGACTCTTCACACACCAATTCGATATTTCTCTGATTTTTTGATAAAAAATACCATGGTGTATGTGTCTGTCATGGTAAAATCTTAGCAGTGACACTTTCGCGCAGATTTACTTTATGTCTCATGCATTCCATTGCTGTTTTGGAATTGCACCTTTTTGAGCTTGGTGTAAGTGTTCTCCGACTGCCACAACGTGGCGCTTCATTTGTCTTGATGAGTGGTTTCAAGTGTAGTTTTTTTTTCAGCCCAGTACATCAGAAAGAAGCGTAGAACTAGCTCGACACGAACCGTCGTCTTCCACTAGTTCTGCAGAGAATAAAAGGTGTGTGGTGTCACTTAACAATTTAGTTTGCTCCGCTTTTTTTTTAAATTCCTTAATTCGTTTTCTTTCATGGGCTATCCAGGAACCTGCGAAATAAATGTTAGCACTATCAATAAATTTTGAAAGCCGTAAATATTGTATGCTCACTTCGAAAAAATTCCTTGAAAAATTTCTGCAAATTTCTCTATGAATTTTTTGAATTGACTTTTATCGACTTTTGAAAATTTATCGGAGTCTTTTGTACTTTTTTCCAAAAAAAAACCGATTCAATCCTCATTGTGTCATTCAACTGTAATTCTCTTATATTTAATTAAAAAAGCTTTTTGAAGTGGTTGCAGGATTTCTGAACGATGCTTGTTATCTCAGAACTTCAGGCGGGATGCCGCTTGTAATTATCTTTTCAAGGAATGTTCCTTTGTTCGGGTTGTCAATACACTTTTAATATGTTTGCTTTCGGGCCCTGGGACATGCAGTATGATTCAGCGCAGTTTGTTTAACTGTGTCTCTATAGGATTGGGATCATTGTTGAGCTGATGGCAAACATGAATAATTCATCTTTGATTTCAAAAAGACTCAAGAAGACTGCTGTTCTTAAAGTCTCCATGACGTTCTGCTTATTGTTTATCAAGTAATTTTTCAGAAATCGTTTGTATGCTCCCCTTTCGGCACTGTCATCACGTCTTCATATTAACCAGCCGGAGCAGTTCCGAAACACTCACAGTGAAGAGGTGAAGTGGGCGGTTTTGTTTGAGTAATGTAGTTAAGGCTTCCAAGATGCGCCACGCATCCTTCTATCATTTATAATCGTAGTGGCATTTGAATGCACATGCTCGATCCCCGATTGAACCCCGGACCACTTGTGTGGATATATGGCGTCACATAACGCTGCATCAACTCGCCCTTTTTCTTAGATGCTCATGAAAATATTACTCAGATTGGAGTAAAATTAGCATAAGCTTCATCTCATTGCTCTGTATTCACCTTTTCCTCCCCTGCTATTCTTTTTGCAATGAACTTGATCTCAACGGAAGTTCTTCCCACCAATCTAATTATTACTTTTTTAGGAAACTGGAACTAGTACAGTTCAACCATCCACAAGTAGAAATGATATGCAAATGTTACCGAAACCGAAAGAAACGGCGAGTCACAGTCTTACTTTTCTCTTCCTCCCTGTTACCGCTCAAAAATAGTATGACATCACTGCATGATATTTTAGAGGTCAATTTTAGGAAAGGGAAGTAGTTTTTTGCAACGGTGGCCCTTCATCGGCATCTCCAGCACGAAAGCCAATAACAATGAAGAATCTCGATCAACGTGTTGTGCCTTCCTCATCCAGTGGTTTTCCCAGGAAAGGTTCGCGACATTGTGATTCGGAGAGATTTCCAGGTTAGATTTTTTGATTGTTAGCCATCGCATTTGTCTCAACTTTTGAGCTTCTGTAAAAGAGAGCAGCTATCCCAATTATTCAAAGGAAGTCGCGTACAGTTGATACAACTTCGCGGAAAAAGGCCTGCGTCTACCAAAGATGATTCTGATATGGTAATAATTTCTGAAGTTGCTTAATATACTTGATATGATACTTGATATACTTGACTTTGTTAATCGGACCGGTATGTTTAGTCTCCTCCATCAGAACCACATGTACACAAGTCCGAAACCCTGACTGTAATTATACCACAGAGGAGAGCCGCTCTGTCAAGGCAAGAACCGGTCGGTGTTTTACGAGATTCCAATTTGGAAGGCACTATGAGAGGCAAATCCGTTAGCTAATTCGTGTTTTCTAGAAACCTCAGTCCACAAAGGTACCAGATTCTTCACCTGCTGTCGAGAAAAAGCTAGCTGACGTACAAGTTAGTGTGACGATTATTTCATTTGTGGTTTTTTAAAGGGTTTTGCTGATCTATTTTGAAAATATTTCTCTAAGATGAAACAGCCAGCGGCTTCTTCGCCCGATGTGGAAAAGTCATCCCCTTTGCCGACAACATTGCCTGCAGATGAGCAGTCTGTGGCTGAAAAAGTAAGCTATGCTTAATCACACTTCCTCGCTGAGTTACAGTCTCTTTGAGTGGGATTTTGAAGGACTTCAAGTTCTCTTTCTTCTAGAAACCTCTTTACTTTTTGTATTTCCATTTGCTGTGGTAGTCTGCAATTTCAATGGTGCTTCTTTTGTTTGCGATGAATGCAAAGGATGCTTTTGTAGCCCTCTAATGGTCATTCAATGAACAAAGACGACCTGCTGCCAGTGAGCGATGAGGAATCTGGTGACGAGTTGGATGACGGGGTGCGTAAATCGATACTACCTCATCTTGAGAGTTCGTTTATACATCAGATATGTTGTGGTATAAACTTTTATCCATTGCAGGATCTGATCGATCCCCCGGTTATTAAATCTACAGTTACTGAGGGAAACTTCATACCATATTCTTTGGATACTCATGCGTTTTCGAATCAACATCACTGCCCGCGATTACTTATTCATGAGCAGAAGTTCTCATCTGCAGAACAATTTTATATGTGGACGAAAGCCAGTGAGCTCTTTTCAGTGATTCATAATATATTTAATTTGGTCTCATTCTCCTTGAAACTTTTATAGGGTTTTTCAAAGATTTTAATGCGGCAAACGCCATTTTATATCTGAAAGATCCGAAGATGATCAAGCAAGTGGACAGTCAACTAAGTAAGCTTTTTTTCTTCACATTTGGAAATAGGTGAAGTGTCATAAGAGCTAAACTCGAATTTAAGTTCTGCGGTGTAATTTTGATTTTGAAATCAAAGACCGGTCTCATCACAACTTGCTTTATGGCTTTTATGGCTTTTTTTTTCACCGATCAGTCATATTGTGTTGACCACCCTTTTCTGATTTTCCTCACGGAGA